TCAGCCAAATTATGTCGGCTAGCGACACCCAGGAGGAGAGCCTTCTCTGTGGGAGCCCCTGCCCTTTGGAATGAACTGCCCCCGGACATACGCAAGATTTCTGACCTCCGAGTTCTCCGCTGTACTCTTAAGACCCTGCTCTTCCGACAGGCAGGGCTAGCTTCATAATTGAGTTTTAAATTCTGAGTTCTTAAATTTTTGGGTTTTTTAGTTAATTTTGGCCTTAAATGTAATACTTTTAATAATTTTTTAAATTTAAATTGTGATATTTATATTGTGTTTTTACCTGGCTGTACACCGCCCCGAGTCCTTCGGGAGAGAGGCGGTATAGAAATAAAATTATCTTTATCCTTATCCTTATCCTTGAAAATTGCCTTATGCCAGGGTTTATCAAACTCATGGCCCATGGGCCAGATGCATCACACGCTGGCTACACCCACGTTTGGTATAGTGAAGGGGGGAAAGTCCCGATATGTCCCGTGACGACGTGAGTTTGACACCCCTGCCTTATGCCAATCAAAGGCATTTATCACCAGTATTTGAGGAAACAATAATAGAATCTTTTGATAGACATAAACAATGTTTTATTTTTATTTATTTTTATTTTATTTCGAATTTATATACCGCACCTTTCTCCCAAGGGACTCAGGGCAGTGTACAGCCAGCTAAAAACACAAAAAAACATTAAAAACAATTAAAAGGATATATATTAATTTGGCCCCAATTTAAAATGACAAACCAGTTAAAAATGTTTTTAAAAAATATTATGTTAAGCCAGCCCGGCTTGCTGGAAAAAGAAAGTTTTAAGGGCACGGCAGAAGGCACTGAGGTCTTGGATTCTCCTTATCTCTGGGGGCAGCTGATTCCAGAGGGTAGGTGCCCCCACAGAGAAGGCCCTCCCCCTGGGGGGTCACCAGCCTACATTGTTTGGCTGATGGCACCCCGAGGAGGCCCTCTCTGTGGGAGCGCACGGGTCGCTGGGAGGTCATCGGTAGCAGCAGGCGGTCTTGAAGATAACTAGATCCTATGCGGCTGCATTCTGGACCAGTTGGAGCCTCCGGGTGCTCTTCAAGGGGAGCCCCATGTAGAGAGCGTTGCAGTAGTCCAGGCGTAAGGTGACGAGGGCATGAGTGACTGTGCACAGGGAATCCCGATCAAGAAAGGGCCGCAACTGGTGAATCAGGCGAACCTGACAGAAGGGCCCCCTGGCTACCACCGTCAGATGTTCCTCCAAGGACAGCTGCCTATCCAGGAGGACTCCCAGATTGCGAGCCCTCTCCGCGGGAGCCAAAGACTCGCCCCCAATAGTCAGTGATGGAGTCAACTGACTGTATCGGGATGCCGGGAACCACAGCCACTCAGTCTTGGAAGGGTTGAGCCTGAGCCTGTTCCTCCCCATCCAGATCTGCACAGCCTCCAGGCACTGAGACATCACTTCAAGGGCATCATTGGGGTGGCCCGGGGTGGAGATGTACAGCTGGGTGTCGTCAGCGTACTGATGGGACTTCACTCCAAAGCCACGGATGATCTCACCCAGCGGCTTCACATAAATGTTGAACAGAAGGGACGAGAGGACCGACCCCTGAGGCACTCCACAAATGAAAGGCCTCGAGGTCGACCTCTGCCCCCCTGCCAACACGAACTGCGACCGGTCTGAGAGAAAGGAGAACCACCTTAACACGGTGCCCCCCCCCATCCCCAACTCTTCCAGCCGGTGCAGCATGATACCATGGTCGATGGTATCAAAAGCCGCTGAGAGGTCTAACAGGGCTAGAACAGAAGCAACCCCTGTCCCGCGCCCTCCAGAGATCATCTACCAAGCAACCAATGCCATTTCCGTGCTGTGCCCAGGCCTGAAACCCGACTGGAACGGATCTAGATAAGACGTTTCCTCCAGGAATTGCGGAAACTGTCGCGCGACCACACTCTCAACAACCTTCGCCATGAAGCGAAGGTTGGAGACAGGACGGTAGTTGGCTAATACTGCCGGGTCCAGGAGCCTTCCCTTAGGAGAGGCCTCACCACTGCCTCTTTCAAGGCAATGGGGAAGTAACCCTCACTCAGCAAAGCATTGATAATTCCCTGGAGCCAGCCTCGTGTAACCTCCCAGGAAGCCAGTACTAACCAGGAGGGACACGGGTCCAGTAAACTTGTAGCCGCACGAAGTCTTCCCAGAATCGTGTCCACGTCATCAGGAGTCACAGAGTCAAACTCTTCCCAGATAACATTCTCAGGACTGTTCCTTGTCACCCTGCCCGAATCTACCTAGTCAGAGTCCAAATCCCCCTGGATCTGAGCGATTTTGTCATAAATCGCTCAGTTTAATGTTGCACGTTAAACCTGAGTTTGGTGGCTTGCTTGCAGACGTTTCCTTACAATTCACATTGATGTTACCTTGATGTAAACAAGGTAACATCAGGGTGAATTGTAATGAAAGTCTGCAGACAAGCCACCAAACTCAGAGCACCAAGGACACCGCAGTTCAACTTTGAATTTATATTCTCTTCAATTGGATTAACAATTTCCTTCAGAATTATGTTTTGCCCACCAAATCAATACTTCTCTTTCTCTATTTCATCTCCTATTGTAGGCTGAGAACATATATAATGATGAAGATCCTGAAGGAAGTGTGGATCCAGAAGGACAAGGATCCTAGACATGTGGCCCCTTTTCTTATTTCTCTTACTGTCCTCTTCCTGCCTTTTCTAACTATCCTAATATTTGAAAGAAATAAATCACACTGTGCATTCAACAGCTCATTTATGAATGCTGTTCATCTGAGAATGTAAAAGGTTGCTGTTGAATGTTGACAGATTGGCCTTTTTTGACCATTTCTCTTCGAAAGAATTTTGAGTTATGCTAGTGTGAATATCTGTTGCCACCACAACAACAATACAAGGTATGCTCAAACTGTTGCAGTACAAGTTGCAGAGGGGATTCTCTTATAAATACTTTTGGTACCCTCCAATAAAAGTGTTGGAGTTACTTTTGTTCTCTAATCAAGTTCTTGGCGTAGATAAATCCAATGCAGGTTCATCAGTTCTCATTCTTGTCTCTAGCTGCTGTCAGTGAGACTTTCTTCCTAGGTTTCTCTGTAGCATCTTGTTCCCTCTATCATTTTCCAATAAGGCATCTTAGGATGTTATGATATGAATATAATATGGTGATAGCCTATATATCTGCACATTGCTTGGCTGTCTCTGTATCTTTCTTGAAATGTGTTTTATCTTTCATTTCTTGTTCATTGTTTTTGTGTTTTAACTTGGGAGACCAAGTTGTAAAAGGTGTTTCAGCTGAGTAATAGATCGCAGACCTCATGCCCAGCTTCCTAGAATTGAACACTGGTAGCAGGTATACCTAATACAGAATGATGAAACTAGTTCAGTTTGCCTCCTAATATTTGCTGTGTAGATTTAACTGTTTCACCAGCAGCCAGTGTAACTTCATGAACCCTGTAAAAAACTTCAAGTGAAATAAATTCATTTTTTTATGTAGAATGTGGCTTGTCTTTTTTTCTTCACTTGAACATGTATAAATTTTTTTACCAAATTATATATTATTGAAAAGTTTGTCTTTTAGGTTTCTTAGGAGCTAGAGATACTCCTTGAGTTACGATCATAATTGAGCCTGGAACTACAATCATACATCATTGTCACAAATTGAGGCATCATGTGATCAGACCGGATTTTTTTGACATTTTTGTGGTGGTTATTTAAATGAATGCCATGGACATTAAATGAATCTATTTTCCCCAATGATTATTTTATTATTTTAAACTGCTGTTAAAGTAGCACTTAGCTCCCAGCTGCCTGCAATTACTGCGAGTTCAATTCTCACCAGGCTCAAGATTGACTCAGCCTTCCATCCTTCTGAGGTAGGTAAAATGAGGACCCGGTTTGTGGGGGCAATAAGCTGACTTTGTATAAAATAAAAGGGGGGGGGGGGGCAAAAAGCTCTATTAAGCAGGTATATACAAAAATATGAAGGCTATTGCTTAATGCATTGTAAGCCGCCCTGAGTGTCCGGAGAAGGGCGGCATATAAATCGAACTAATAAATATTCTGCCAGAAATAAAAAATGTCACAAATTATTGTCATGTGACTGTGGGATGCTACAAATTATAAAGGTGAGCCTGGTTGCCAGGCACCCAAAATGAGTGTGGTTGGGATGCGGGATGTGGATTGAGGGAAAGAAAAAGGTAAGTAACTTATTGGGGGAGTAATGTAACTGAATGGTTGCTAAGTGACCAAGGGCTTCCTGTATAAGTAGATCAGCTGAAGTAAATTGTTCCTAGCCATTGGGAATAAAATCGAGTAATTATGTGTTATTAATCAAGATGGCCCCAATATTGAAAGCTCTGTTTGGTTGTGGTTATGCAACTTTTTTGCAATAGTTCTGTATCACACCACTTAGCAGCAGCAATTCCTGCAGTCCTGGTCGCTGTCATCTGGGTGGTTAGGTGAGACAATTTCCTGCCAGCTTCCCACAATCAAAATCTGTGGGGGACCTGGGAGGAAGTTGCCAGTCTAGGCTTGCAGGCAGGTAACTCACTGCCCTGTGGGATGGGGAGGAAGGGGCACAATGTGAGTTGGAGAGACTTAAAACTTGCAATTTTGGTTTTTATTTTTGTATGCTGTTCACAATTACTGAGAGTGAGTGGGCAGCCATATAAATTGTCTTATATAAATAAACTTTCCCTGCTAGCTTCCTTGTTCACTTTTCTGGAGAAGTACACAAGGTTGCAAATGGTGATCACAGTGTGCTTGGCAATTGGTTGTAAGTGCAAATAGATTGCCAAGTTGCAATCATGTGATTGTGGGGCTGCTAGGACAGCCAGAAGTCTAATGACTGGTCATAACTACCATTCTTTTGGTGTCATAACTTGGAATGGTTGCTGATTGAATGTCATAGATTGAAAAACCCCTATAGGAAAGCAGTTCTTGTATGAAAAGTTTTTGAAGTTTTGTTTCTTAATAACACATTGATAGTCTACAAAAAGCTCGCTTCACTATTCATAAGCAAGTTTTATACAGAAAATTAAATATTGACAAAGGTTTTGACATGTCATCCGAGTACATGTTAACAATTGCTGATAATGCTTATCTGGTGTTCTGTTAATATCAGGTCTGTCATAATGGTCACATCTCAAAAATCATAATCCTTTTTGACAGTAAAAATGCAAACTCTCATCCTAGAAATCTTGCTTATTGGTTGCTACCAGTATTAGTCGGATGGAGTCCATATTGGTAAGCAGAGGGAAAGATGGCTGTGCGTGGGATTCAGTCTTCGTCTTTATCTTCATCTTCCTTCACTTCCGATTCGCAGAGTTGCCCATACATTTCCAAGCAGCCTCTGTGAGAATTGAGAATTGGTTACGCAACTGCATCAGTTCTGTTACAAAAGACAATATATTGCAAAATAACATTTGCGCTCCTGCTTTGAACTCTCAACTCTTATAGATCCTACTTAGGAGAAAATTTGACAGTAGAAAAAGTTATATAACCATTTTTATATCAAAGCAAGATATCTATTTGTTATAATTTGAATATTGTACAAACATCCTATCTACACAAAATATTTAGATTATATACTAATTATGCCACCATGGTTTTTCTAAATATTCCGTACAGAGTGAGATGCTACACTGTTAGTATAGTAAGAGTGGCTACTATGCTACACTCCTAGCCCAAAGGCTAAGGAAGTAAGCTACAAAGGTAGTAAAAATCCTGGCCCCAAAGTGTTTCTTCAATTATTTTCAAACCCTTCTCTAGTAATGGTGTTTTCTTCCTTATTTTGCTTTTACATGGATATGGATCAAAGAAATGAAACCTACTTGAAAATGGACAGTTCTTGATGTAAACTGACTTTCAGTTCTTCCAATTCTTGGTTCTTTCGTTGCTGAAGTTGAACTCCAGTCTTCAGTTCCCTTATTCTGTTTTCCATCTCCTCCACTTGCTCCTGTGGGCAAAAAAGACAGGTAATCCTCAATTTACAACCAGAGTTCGGATTGTGTTGCTAAGCAAGGCAGTTATTGAATTATACCCGATTTTATGACATATTTTGCCAGAGTTATTAAATGAATCATGCTGTTAACCAAATCAAGCTTCCGCCATTAACTTTGTCAGAATTCAGCTGGGAAAATCATAAGTGCTGATCACTACAAACTGCAACCATCATAAATACAGTTGCCAAGCCCCCAAATTCTGATCACATGACGGGATACTGCATAGGTTGTGTGAGGGCTGGTGAGAACTTTTTTCCGTGCCTTTGATTTTGAAGGATCGCTAAACAAATGGCAAACTGAGATCTATCTACTGGTATGTAAATGATCTTCTAAAAAAGAAAGCTTTAAATTCTTCATGGTGGCCTTATGTTGCAGTCAAGACGGACGTGGCTTTGCAATATTAAGGAACAGCTCCTTCAGTGTGAACTTGGGCAATGGACAACTGAATTAAAATGGACACTTGCAAATAGAGTGTCAGCCCTGGAGGCCATCTTTTTCTTTGGATCTTCAGGGCTGCCACACTTGGTGGATGGACATGCTGGGAGGGGGGTGAAATGTATAGCCATAACATTCACTGGGAGTCAAGGACATTCAGCCTACACCTGGAGAGGCATGACTGGGAAGCAACTCCAGTTATGATGGTGATCTGATTAGAGCGTGTGATGGACATGTGGGTGCCAGGAAAGGAACTTTGACTTTCCTTTGGGTGGGGAAAACCCGGGAGACTTCAGATTCGGGTTTTGCCAGATGTGTCAATATGACATCTCTAATAAAATGGAACTTTGAGGAAATGCCTGCCTCGGAGTCTTACTTGGTTGGGGGTGTTGGAACCCTGACATTAACCCGAATCTACTTTAAAAACTCAATCCAGCTTCCCACTCCAGGGTCCTGAGCCCAAAGCGCTGATCCACTTGCGCGGCGGCGCAAAGACTCAGGGAAGATGGAGAAGACGGCAACTACAGAAGGAGCTACAGGAACTAGCTTGGAGGTTGTTCTCGAGACCACCTACTCCCCTTCGGAGAGCGTGGTACCAGCAGCAGAGACTGTGAAGGCTGAGGGTTGACGAGGTGCCCGGCCCAAAGAGCCGGTGCCCTGGCAGATCGCTCAGCTGGATCCTTCCCCATGGGGAAGTCACGGGAGCCGAGCTGCCTCAGGAGTTGGCAATTGTGGCAACACTGCAGGAACCTCAGATTGCAATGAGCAGAACGGTGCACGCCTAGGCCTTCGAATGGAGAGTGACGAGGCTTCCTGAGCCCAGTGATTCCAGGAAATGGAGTCTCCTGCCACCGTTGCGGAGCCAGTCACTAGTGGGGCTTCAGGAGTGATTTGACCAACTCCGCATGGGCAGCATCGCACAGCCTACCCCAAACAGCCAGCCCCCATGAGTCCTGGCTCAACCCACATTCACTTTTCTGGGCCTCAGAGCCGTGACCGTCCAGAGTGAAGCATGGGCTTAATTTCACTCGGCACAAAATGGATCACTCTTCAGCCTCCTGCACCACCAGCCACCCCTCCCTCGTGATTCAAAACATTTGATGGAACCCCGGGGAGGCTGGTCTATTTCCTGAACTGGATTTGGTCCTACATTGACCATTATGGGGACCAGTACCAAACTGATCAGGATATAGTGTTGGTAATTGCTGACATCATGATGGCGGGAGAAGCAGCGGAGTGGATAGCCCAGTTACATGATGAAGGGGCCCCAGAGCTAGAAGACACTGATGAATTCATGCAACTGCTCAGGGCTCAATTTGAGGAAACAGCCCACAGAGAGGAAGCTGAAATTCGAATCAAAGCCCTGAAGCAAGTGGGCTGACCCCCAAAAGAACTCGTCTGGGAATTCCGAAGGCTGGCTGAGAAATTGAGACTGGCTTGAACGCCTTTTGCAGGGACTCGCCAAGCCCCTGCAAAACTGGCTGAAGCGCCACAACCGGCACTGCCGGGAATGATGAAGTGCTTCCAATGTGGCCAGCAAGGCCACAAGTGTCTGTGTGCCTGGCTTCAGCCCCAGTCCCTCAACTCCAAACTCCATCGGCATCTTGGGGAAGGAAAATCCCAAAGAAGTCACCAGACAAGGGAAGGATCGCCCAACAAGCTGCTGAGGTTCCTCCCCTCTCCGTCGGAAACTCCAGTTTCAGAGACCCCTCCAGGCTCCACCAGTGGGAGCAGTGGGGAAGAGGATCCGATGGTAAGTGAAGCCATCAGCCCCTTCTTCATTAAGTCCCGGATAGTAGTGCTAGGGGGACATAGAGGCCATCATAGACACCGGCTGCACCAGGTGTGTCTTATCAGCCTCCCAATTGTCCAACAGCTAGGAATAAGCATGAAACCCCTGGTACACCCCATACGCTTTGAGCAGGTTGATGGGACACTAATAGGCGGAGCCCCAGCCACTTTAGTAATGGAGCTTGTTAGACTGGAAATGAGACGCCACCAGGAGCTTATATGTTTCGTATTAGCCCCCAAAATCACTGAATCAATCATACTAGGTCTTGCTTGACTTTGACAAGTGGGGCCTGACCATCACATGGGAAAATGGCTACCGAAAGCTAAGAATAGGCATTGGCCCACTGCTGCCAATTTCGCCAAATAAACAGGCACTGAACCCCAGCAGCTGCAGCCGGCTGGAAAACGCTGCAGCCGCCACAGATGGGCTCCCTGGCTGTCCTTAGGTGCCCAAGGAATATTGAGTTTTGACAGCCACCTTTAGCAAGTAGGACTGCAACTTCTTCCCCATCACCCTACAGACTGCGCGATTTGAGTTCATACCGGAAGCCAAGTTGCCAAAGCCAAAAATGTACTCCATGATCCCAAAAGAAATGACTGAATTGAGAAAATACATCAAGGCCAACTTCATTCTTTCAAGGGGCTTCATTCAACCTGCCAAATCCCAAGTGGCGGCTCCTGTGCTGTTCAAAAACAAAAAAAACGGGAGGATGAGGCTTTGCATTGATTTTCGTGAAATTAATGCCATGTGCGTGAAGAACACCTACCCCCTCCCCTTAATGACATGCTAAGCTTGGTGAACGGCAAGGTGCTCACCAAGCTGGACCTAAGAGAAGCCTATTACCGGATACGAATTAGGGAGGGGGACGAATGGAAGACCACATTCAACTGCCCACTGGGCAGCTTCCAATTTAAGGTCATGCCGTTTGGGCTCCAGGGAGCCCCCGCCATATTCATGCAGCTAATCAATGAGGTGCTGCATGAGCATCTCTACAAGGGGGTCCTAGTTTACCTGGATGACATTCTTATATTTAGTGAAACGCTGGAAGAACATGTTAAATTAGTATGGCAAGTGCTGGAAAAAAAACTCGCTGCGAAGCTCTATTTAAAGCTCTCTAAATGTGAATTCCATAAGACTTCCCTAGATTACTTGGGCTACCGAATGTCAAGTGAGGGGATTGAGATGGATCCAGGGAAAGTGAAAGTGGTGCTGGACTGGCAACCCCCATGCAACTGCAAACAGCTCCAAAGCTTCCTAAGGTTCGCAAACTTCTATAGGCAATTCATTCCAGCATTTGCAGAAGTAGCCCTACCCCTAATGGAGCTACTGAAAACAACCTCCCCACTTCAAAGCCGCGTCCAGCACAACTGCTGGCCTAGTCACTAGAGTGCCAAAAAGCATTTGAGAAATTAAAAAGACTCTTCACTGAGGAGCCGATCCTCCAGCACCCCGAGCCCGAGCAACAGTTCATTGTTCAAGGCAACGCCAGCGATGTAGCTGTGGCAGCAGTGCTTCTGCAAAAAGATCCCCAAGGTTGACTTTTGCCCTGTGTGTATGTGTCCAAAAAATTCACCAACACCGAGAGATGGCGGGCAATATGGGAGAAGGGGGCTTATGCAGTCTGCTGGGCTCTTCTCTCCTAGAGGCATTTCTTAGAAGGGAGCAAAGTGCCAATAGAGGTCTGGACTTATCACAAAAAAAACCCGAAAGCTCTCTCCCAAATACAGAGGAGATTTATGGTATCTGCCATTGAAAGGATTAGAGCATACACAAAGTGTACCTAACTCAACTTTTGATTCCCTGCTGAGCTGAGCTCCATTGTAACCTAATGTGCCAACTGCAAAGATAAAGTCTTTAGGCTAATTGCCGAATAACCTCGCTTGTAACTTAAAATGTGTATTCGCAGCAACCTAATGTGAGATAGCACCCCCTAACAAAGCTCTGGGCTATAGGCCTTTCCCCTTCTAAGGTCCCTTGTTTGCAGAGCGCTGAGAAAATCATGAGGTTTGCATGAACTAATGGATATGAAATTATGTGTTTATAAGAAGTTCGAGAAAGTTTTTGCACGTGGTGGCTTCAGCTTTTTCTTTTTCTCTCTGCCTGCTCTGTTTAAGATAGGAGCCTGAGTGGCGAAGGAGGCTAATGCCTCCTAAGGCAGCATTTAACATCCAGCTGCCTGCAATTACTGCGAGTTCAATTCTCACCAGGCTCAAGGTCGGCTCAGCCTTCCATCCTTTCTAAGGTGGGTAAATTGAGGACCCAGTTTATAGGGACAATAAGCTGACTTCGTATAAATATACAAAAGTATGAAGGCTATTGCTTAACGCATTGTAAGCCGCCCTGAGTCTCCGGAGAAGGGCGGCATATAAATCAAATAAAAAAAAAAAAAAAAGGTCGCCCAGTTTTGAGTTTTGATCAAAACAATAAAACTGATTATCAGTTGCCTCGTGTTCAGAGTTTCATTGGATTTATCAGATTCTGTGCTGCACTTGAAAATCTTAACACCTTTTAATTCAGCCAAATCACATGCTGCATCTTTCATGGAATCTCTAACCTTATAATAATTTGAATAAATTAAAGGTATTCCTTGTTGAGTGACCACAACTGGGGCTGGCAACTCGGTCATTAAACAAAATGGTCAATAAATGTAACCGTGACTCCTCACAATCTTTGCTTTACAGACCCTTGAAAGGCATAAATATGAGGACTGGTTGTAACGGTAAGCTT